ATTGGAGGCCAGCAATAGGAGGAAGCCTCTCTGCAGAAACAAAGTACTGTATGGGCAGTTTTGCAACCGCGCGCTTCTCGGCTGACTTCCTTGAATAAGACGCCCTTCAATTTTTAGGGTAAGGATTTTAGAAAAAAGTATTGTATTATAGTCGGAAAAATACAGTACATACATACACTCAGAGCAATTTGGGACATAACTATCAAGTGTGTGTGAGCTGAAAGCGAGGCAGAACTCCTTCACAGATATGCTCCTTAATGCACCAGGCTCATTCCTATAGCTTTCACTCCTCTCCACTACACTGTCCCTCTTTTAATTTACACAGTGACAAAGATAGTTTGCACTTGAGCATCTTTCATGCTGTTTGTCGCAGCTTCACTGTAGGGCCTGTAATTAAACTCTCTCTCCACTCTGCCCTCCCAAGCAAACACAAGGTTAGGTAATTAGATATGCTGCAAAGAATTATGAAGCCATGTGCATAAAGAAGCTCTCCATTTAATAGCATTCTGGAATCCTGTCCTTCCCCCCAGTAGGTATATGTATGTAAATATGTCAGTCCCAATCTTTAAATTCTTGGCCTCTTTCTCGTGCATTTTTGAGCCAATGGCTTCCTGTCTCTTGGTTTTGTCCTGTCCTTTGTTTAAAAAAACTGTTTTCTCTGGTGTGAGAATCAGAGATTACTACTTCACTCTTGCAATACTACTTAGAAGCTTTTGGAGTCCTGGGTGCTCTCTGAGCTTGGTTGTTTGCTTGCAGACATTTCATTACCCAACTAGGTAGTATCATCAGTGCTAGCGAGTGTGGCATTTGCTCCCTATAAAAAGCTAAGAAGGAAACAAAAAGACCAGAACACATCCCCTCCAGCAGCCAACACTCAGATAAGCAAGGATTAACACCAGACAAACAGTCAAGCAGAAAACAATACTCTAATCAAGGAACTAGGAAGAAGAAAAATCACACCCCCACCAACACTGGCAGAGCACACCACTGTATATAAACGGAGCAAACCCCACACTCACTGGCACTGTTGATGTTACCTAGTTGGGTAATGAAATGTCTGCAAGCAAACAGCCAAGCTCAGAGAGCACCAAGGACTCTGCAGTTCAATCCTGAACTACGTATATTCTCTTCTATTGGAATTTAGAAGTTGCTTCATCAACTTTGTTTCATAAATGGATGCATCTCTCAGATGACAGCAGTTACTGGCTGTTTTCAAAAGGAGCTATCTAAATGAACTCATTGTTTCTGCCAGCCTTGGCCAAATTATTTTTCCCCCTTTATTAACCTGCAGATGAACAGTTCCTAAAAGGTTTGCCCAAACTACATCTACCAGTATTTACCTGCAGCCTGTCACTCATTTTCACACTATTCACAAAGCCATGATTTGAACTACTTGCTTCTTATGTTATGCAACTCATGTCTTGGAAAGTTGCATTTCTACTATAATAACTCTATAAAGTAGACAAACAAATCTACTGTTAAATATCATTATTGTTATTCATGTCCAGTTAGGAGGAAGGAGGTCCTAAGACCAGCCATTTCAGGTCTTTCTTGCAGATTTTATTGAGGTAGTGTGCTTTCAGTCTTCTGTAACCTGTCTTTATGTCCCTGTTCTTTGTTCTGTATCTTAGATACTAGTAGGTAGGGCAGGTAATAAGAAACCAGATTATAGAGTTTCACAGACTATAAAAGACTATTCTTCAATAGTGATGGAAAAGACAATCTGTATGCAGGATTTATCCCACTGAGTCTTAACTGTCCTAATTCTGCCTATTGGTTAAGATCTCTTTTCCAGTGATGATTAGAGTTGCAAATATTTGGAGAATTTTCTATGAGGGACCTTGGCCAAGGTGTGATATGGTCACAGCACTCTGTTTTTTTGCTTGAATGAATGCCTTGCCTGTCAGTCACCTCTTTTGGAAGCTTGATGTTCTCTTCTCAAAGATGTCAGGCACCTCTTTGGCTTCTTAGCATCTGCTGATAATCCCTGATAATCTGCAAGGTTGCACAGAGCCCATGAAAATGAAAGACCAACTCCTTGCCTTCAAGCCATAGTTTTGCCAATGGACATCCATGTAATCTATCTTGACCCCCGTAGTAAATGCTCCACTTCACAGCTTTTCTTATAGGCACTGTGTGGATTGGAATTTGAAACAGCAAGAAGGTGCGAGCCACACTTTCTTGAGAGTGCAGTCGGGGGTGGTGGGAGACACTGTCCAAACTCTGCTTGAGCTTCTTAGGTTTCTCATGCAGGTACAGAGGTTTATGTATGTGAGCGCACACTTAAACGCTTAGTGAAGTACAGTTAGTTTAAGACAAGCAATCTCTTTCCTACTAGCCAGGAAAAAAAAAACTCTAGTAGGCTAAATACATGCATATTGGATGGAAGTCTCTGAAGGTTCCTGCTTTGCCTCCTGGGCAGGTTATTCTAACCCTCCAGATGGAAATAATGGAGGCTCAGAGAAGAGAGGAAGCAGAACTTCAGAAGGAACTCGAGAGTGTGGAGCAAAAGGTTCAACAGAAGAGACATCAAGTAGCAGAGTATGAGCGAGAGGTAATGAGCAACTGCTAACGCCTCTTACAACATGGTCTCTAATGTGCAGTATCAAATTATTCTGCACTGGCAGAGGATATACTGCTTAGATTCTTATACTCCTTCCCTCTCAGAGTATTGTGACGGAATTGAAAATTATGCCCTAAGTTCCTTATTTCAGAACAGATTCTTAAAGGCAGGCAGGCAAGTGCACCACCACCAGGGGCTTCCGGATAGGACAGCCTTGTTAAGGGCCTGTCGCTTCTGCTGTGCTAAAACAGAAAGACGAGGGCTATTAAAGCCCATGTGGTTCCTTTTATCAGAAGTATCCTGGGGCTCTGATGCTCTCCTAGGCTCCAATGCTGTTGTGGAAGGCAAGAGAAGACAGTGTAGAGAGTAAGGGAGGTGATCTTGACATAAATATGTAAGAAATATTACCTAGACAAGGGAAGCTGAGACATTCTTTAAGCCTGGGAAACAAGATAATGTTAGGAAGTGGCTCAGGAAAACTCCTCCCTGATTGACTGGAATATAAGAAGGAGGGGAGGTAATGCAGAGTCAGATTTGCAAGATTATTACAGCCAATCTCAGTAAAGTATAGTTCTGGTCTTCCTGTAGGGTTGATTTGGTGGTCTGGTCTACCTAGTGGGTAGCACTCTGAAGTCCCAGAAAGCCCCAGCTTCTTTCTTGAAGAGGGGGATGGAGGCAGGTGGTACAATGATGGCCATTCAGAACTCAGTTGCTGGGCTCACTTGACACATTGGACAACCTATGCCTGCACAAGTGTCACAGCAACTCTCGTGTGCTGAGAGGTGGTGTACTGTGCTGATCCTTGACTGCAGCTTTGGAGCATTTTTGTTGTCAGTGTGTGATGATGGTGGGAATAATAGTAGTTTAATCTGGATGCCTTTATCCCAACTGTAGCTCAGTGACCTTCTGAAGGAGAAGCGTCAAGAGGTTGAGCGGGAGCATGTGAGAGAGTTGGAAAAAATGCAGAAGATACACCAGGAGGCACTAGCTAGGATTCGGGTGCAACATGAGGACCAGGTAAGCTTACAAACAAGTTGGATACATCAGCAAAAGTTCCAGTGGGCATATAGCTGTTTTGCTCACAACATCTGAGGAAGAGATGGGGCTAATGTACAGGCATCTTTTATTTATTTATTTATTTATTTATCTGACTCACTATCAAACTTTTACGCCACTATAATCAATTACAGACTATCAGCTGTTAACAATAATGAACATCCAAAATAACATCCGCATTAAGAAATAATAAAATACAGTATAAAACATCAGTTGTAAATTTCATTAATAATATGAACAGTGTGCAAAACAATAGACATACAGCATTTATTTATTTATTTATTTAATCATATTTATATGGCCGCCCATCTCACAAGACTTGACTCTGGGCAGCATACAATAACAAAAACATATAATAACAGTATTAAAAACATCCCACAATTTTTTTTAAAAAAATAATATTATTATTAAAAGGCTAGGAGAAAGCATTACATGTTACAAACAATGTAGCACCTCACTAAATCGCCATTTCCCTGAGACCCAAGCCTGTTGGCACAGCCACGTTTTGAGGGACTTCGGGAAGGACATCAAGCATTACCTGAACTATCCCTATACAATCTCCAGAAAGTTAAAGGGAATTTACCTTTGCAGGGAGGCTCTTCTGTTAAGTGGGTGCTGCAACTGAAACTTAGGGTTTCGGGCCTCAGCCCCCTGCATCTCCCAAAAGTGGGAAATCCCAAGCAATGTCTCCTAGGAAGAATATATTGATTCAGGCTGGAGAAGTAAGCACCAAGCCTTATAGGGCTTTAGAGGTTAAAACTAAGGCTTTGAATTGGACTCACAAGCCTACTGGCAGCTAATGCAGGGCCTGCAGAGCCGATATAGCACTAATGAAAGCACACACCCTCCGGGAAGAGGCCACTGCGTTCTGCACCATCTGGCCCTTCTGGGTGGTCTTCAAAGATTTCCTCGTGTGGAGCATATTGCAGTGCTCCAGACAGATGGTGATAAAGGCCGAGTTACTGTTTCCCTCCCTCACCTTGAATAATGTCAACTCTTGTACCTGTGGTACGTGGTAGGAGAGGAAGCAGAAGGCTGAGCTGCTTGCAACACTGCAAAATGAGCTGGAGCGCATGAGGCCGCTCCACCAGGCAGAGCTAGAGGCTTTGCTAAAGAAACACGTGGAACAGCTGAAGGACCTGCATCAGAGCCATCAGGAGCAGGTAGGGAAAAATGGTGAGAGGGGAAAACCTAAAGCCTCTGTACCTGGACCCTTTGGAGGGCAAGACCTCCTTCTCTGCAGTTTTTCATGGGCCCTTTAAATGTAGCTCAGTTCATGAAAAAGCCATTTCCAGTGGACCATGGCAATGCTTAAAGAGCTTGAGGGTGCCTCTCTGAAGCATCAAGGATGCAGGAAGGTGGTAGCTGTAACTTCCACCTCTTTGGACTGCCTCTTAAATTTCCCATGGCTAAGAGAGGGAGGCTTCGCTTCTTCCTTAATCATTAGCTCATCTCCTTTCCTCATTCCTCGTGATGTGTTTGTCGTGGTTGTCTGTGTCTTGGCAGATAGGTCATATCTTTGTTGGCAAATCTTATGGCTTTCTTCATACAGGAGAAAAAGGCCCAGGATGCGGAATTGGAACTGGAGCTCCGAACTAAAGATGCCCAGACAAGAGCAGCTCAGCTCTGTGCCCAGGTGAGTGCATGCATGCACGACTGTGTGGCTCATTACACCAGTGGTGAAGACTGTAACATGGCCTGTTGGACCACTAGTTGAAGCACATTTCTCCACGTGTATCTTATGGGAGGACTGGATGAGTTCTTTTCAGAAAACCTCCATCCTCTGAATGCATTTTCAACTGTTTTCTGTTTGCTTACCAGTTTCTCCTCTAGAGGAAAAACATTGTCATAGCTCTGACATAGAATTTCCTGCATAGGACCTGAGCTGAAACTTAAGGAGCTCTTGATCCTTAGAAGCTTTGCTGTACTCAGTCTTTGGTGTCCTGAATTGTTCTGTGTCCAAGGGGCTGTGTTGCACTTCTGGCAAATAGATGTTCTGGAACATAGATGTATAGCTGGTCTAGTCTCTTAGCACCTGTAAATCTTTGTCCCTAGGGAGGAATTTCATGCTCTTCCCAGCTTACTTGAATTATTTCTTGATTATGTGTAGGAAGAGGCCTGGAAGAAGAAGAGGCAGCAGGTCCTGGAAGAAGAGAAGCAGCTGGAAGAAGGAAGAAATGTATGCACTGGCAGCTCTTGCAATGGGCTAGGAATCCCCTTTCCCTTATGATGAGATAAGGGAAGTTTCACGCCTGGAATTAATGCAAATGACAAGTGTTAGGGAGGAGATGGGAAGGCAGGAGCAGCACAGTTCTAAATGCAGGTTTCTGTCCCTCCAAGACTACTTGGTCTCTTTGCACTGTCCTTCTTTGGCTGAGGGCTAAACAGTCACAGGCTGGCTTAAAGCTGAGAATTATGAGATTCTGTTGTTCACCAAGATTCCAACTAGTATTAGATTGTCTTCTCTGGTGGTAGCTTTCCAAAGTTTCAGACAGGAACTTTTGCCTGGAGAGGTCAGCAGACTTTTGGTCTGGAACACCTAACATGCAAAACATGCATTTTACCAATGAACTGTGAACTTTTCTCTAAATATAAGCAGGAAGACAACTGTAGAATAGAAACAACCTGAGGGGATGGATAGCTGGATCAGAGATGCCCTTTTGCATTGTTGCAGTACAGTATTTGCTTTTTCTTGGAGGATACCAACGCTTATCTCTGGCAGAGAACCCACTAACCTTTGCCAGAAAACTCTGCAGGTCAGCCAGTTATTTAAAGCTGCATCTGCTGGATGCTCTTCTGCTACTGTCTTTTAATCTCTCATTCTCTCTTTTGCAATGACAGGAGTAGTTTGATGCCAAAGCTGCAAAAATGCATTTTTCTGCCTTTGGGTATTCTACCCTGGTAGCTCAAGTGTGTAATTGCATTCATATATTAGGCAGTGGAAAAGCAAATGCTTTTAATTTTTTTAGGAAGCAGCTTTGGCAGCTCGTTCCCACCTTGAGGAGTCCCAAAAAGCACAGGCGAATCTTGAAGACACTTTACAGCAGCTGCACAGAGCTCTGGCAGAACTCCAGGACCAGAAAAAAAAGTTGGAGTCTCAGGTGGCATTGCTACAGTTACAGAGCCAGCAGTTGGAGAGGCGTACCAGGTGGGGTTTGTTCTTTGCTAGACAAGCTGGATTGAATGGGCATCATATGGTAAGCCATGTGACAAGTAGATACGGGGATGTGTGAGTGACTGGTGGAGAATCCTGTCCTTATGTATGTTCCCAAGGTCTAGGAAGTGTGGGAAGCTAATTGGCTCTCTAACCAGGAGGCACCCATTATTTTGCATGCCCATTTGCCACCACACTTAAATTCAGCAGTCTTGTGTCCCCAACTTTCACTTTCCAAATGTTGAATAAGAATTTGCCACTTCCTGAAGTCAGAGAGGACCAGAAGTGCTTGCTATCAGACGCATGTTGATCCTGGATGGCATCTGACTTCTTCTTTCTGTGGCATTTACAGTGAGCTGGAGGAGACCATCAGGACCAAGCAAGAGCTGCTAAAGAAACTAGATAAAGAATGTAGTGAAGCAACTTCTCCGAGGAAAAAGGAAGAAGCACTCCGAGTTGAAGACCTGCAAGGGGACTGTCCAGAGGTCAGTGGAAACAGGGTCAGAGATGAAGGGAACTGGACATAATGGGAACATTCTACTCCACGGAACTTGCTTTCAGTTTCATGGCTCAACCCGGACTTTACAGTGAGGAGATAGGACGAGAAAACCAATATATATAGTATAGCATATCAATCAAACAGTTCTATAGCAGCATTCTTATTAAATGCTATCAACGTGCATGAAATTTTACAATTCTGCCCACAAAAGGACATGGTAAATATTTGAGGAATGGGAAAGAAAACCTTTCCTAAGGGAGGCCACTCCAACCAGCCTCTGACAACTGAGATGAGACTCTCACAACCACTTCCTCGGCCATCTTGAAATTGGGGGGCTCACATGTGGCTTGAACTGCAGTGTATATCTTAAGAGGATGGACTTCAGGGGCTGGAGGAGAGAGGCCTGGGGATTTGGAAAAGGCCTGGTGTATGGGGGCTGCAGTACCTAAAAATACGGAGTGGGGAAGGAGATAGTTTTATTAAAGATGAGTGGGATTCAGCTTTGGCTGTTTGGTCATGGAACTGGGAAAAATAATTCTCCGCTGCTGACAACTTGGAGGGCTTTGCTGCCACCAGCTGGAAGAGACAAATTAGGGTCTGATTCCATACCAGTCAGCTCCAGGTGTTGGTGTAAGCAGAGCAAAGATCCTCTGGCTGAGAAGAAATGGGAAATAATATTGCCTACCTAATACTGAATTGCTCTGACTTAAGCCCCCTCCATTAAGGAACCACATGCTATATTTTTCCTTGATCTTTATCCTTTGTTTGCATGTTACTTAACTTTAAAAACAATTTAATCCTCAAGCCTTCCTCCAGAGAAATGGCATCTGAAACACCAAAAAGCAATGAAGAAAGCAGCCTTCTCCTGAACCAGTAAGTGAGAAAAATATTCATACCCTGAAATAACGGTATGTTTGGTATCTGTGACGATAGGCTTTGGCATCTGCTGGGGACAGGATAGAGGAGAGTGGCTAGTTGGCCTTTTTCTGAGGTGCTGCTGGTGATGCCGAGAGACCCATGGTGGTTTTTGCTGAAAACATGATAAGGGTAGCACTTTTTCATCCGCAGCCTGAGCAACAAATCTTGCTCAGGTCTTTTTCTTTCTGTTCTTACAGAGTACGGCACTACATTTCTGCTGAGGGAGCCTCACTGAAGACAGCCAAGGAGTTTTTGGTGCGGCAAACTCGTTCCATGAGAAAAAGGCAAACTGCCTTGAGAGCAGCAAAGCAGCACTGGTATCATGATCTGCAGGGAACACAAGCTGTACAAGATTCAAGCCATTCTCAGGTGTTAGAGGGAGTGCTCAGGAACCTGGAAGAGGTGAGTGGTGAGCTAGGCAAAGCAAGGCAGTTCTGGAAACAATCAGCCTGGGCTGAACTTCAGAACAACTCCTGTAGGCTGTGATAACTATGGTTTTCAAGCAGATTTGGTGGCTGCAGGAAAAGGGACTGGGAGGGAGGGGGAAGAGGTAGATAGGTGGCTGTGGAAAGCTTGCTTTATCCTGTTTGGGGTTGAGAATGCCACAGAAGGGGGAACCATCTGGCTTGCTTTGGACTGCACCTCGCTGCAGATTGGCAGCTGGACAAGCGGCACTGAAGAAAACAGCAACCCTAAGTCAGGAAGGATTGCCTCTTCTGCCTTCTGCAATGAGTCAAGCCATCTTCCAGGGGAAGGATTGAGCAGCAGGCATGCTCCTCTCCTGCAAAACAGGGATCCCTGCAAGCAACAGCTCACAGATGACAAGACAGTGCTACTAAGAGGACTTTAAAGTCAGCCAACAGTGGCAGCAAAGTTAAAATCACTCCTAGCAAAAAGTTCCTCATCCATTGGCCTGTGATCACAATATGACTTTCTTTCCCCCCAGGAAGGGAGGCAGCTAGATGAAATGAAATCTGCCATGCGGAAAGGGCAAGAACTGCTGAAGAAGAAAGAAGAGAGGCTCAGCCAGCTGGAATCCTCTCTTCTGGAAGAGGTAGCTCTCTCATCCAGCAAGGAAGCACACAAAACCTTCCTTGGTGTCATAGCAACTGCCTGACTATCATTCTGGAAAGGAGTAGAGGGAACAACTTTTGTTTCTCTCATTTACCCACATCCCAAGGGTGGGAAGGCCCCATTTGATTTTTGTTGTCAGCCAGGGCATCTACCTGTCAATCTGCCTATTCAAAACATGGATGTTTTTGGTGGTATATGTTTTTTGTTCGTGATGGAGATCTAACCATGGGATGGTGCTGAACAAGGTGGAACTGGATCCACCTCTGTGAATTTGTCCTGGGTGCTTCAGTCACTGGCTCTGCCAGTAACCTGCGACCCAACTGGGGACCTGCTAACTGTGAAGATCTGGCTTGAGTGCTTGTTTTGGCCTGGCCAAAGAAGCTAAGCAAGCTGGCCTGGCCCTGCCTGCTGACGAGTGGCTGTTTTTTACCCTGAGTGGTTGAGACACAACAGTGAGGAAAATCACTTCTTCCTTACTAGTTTTCTGATGAAGATACAATCAAGGGAATGGCCTGCAAGAAAATGGTGACTTTTGACCTCAGTGACTCTGAAGACACAAGTAGCCTCATGAGTGCTGATCAATCTCCCCACAAGAGTAAGTGTTTGGACAAATGCTAAGACCAGCATCCCACAACCTGCAGTCTGAGCTTTTTCAATCTGTGAGTTTGCACTAATGTTTCTCAACCTGGTTACCTTCCAGGTGAATAGACTTTCACTCATTTCTGCTCAGCTAGCATGCCGTTGCTGAGAATTCTGAGAGTGGGTCCATGCATCTGGAAAGCACTCTGGCTGGAAAAGGGTGGTCTGTGACATACCAATTGCTCCACTCTTCTTACCTCCCAAAAAGAAATTGGCATGTGTTGCGATCAGGAAACATAGCTGTCCCTATAGAACCGGGTTCCTGAACTTTTTGCCATCGCACCTCCCTGTAGTGTAATCTTAATATACACATCCCCTAAAAATCCAAACACCAAAATAAATGCAAGTGAACAAGGAAAACAATACAATGAAACTTTGGGAAAGGTGGATTTATTTTAACAATGTAACCAGAAGGCCCTCCACCCCTCCCCTGGGCTCCCTCTGCACCTCCCCAAGGGAGCTACACCTCACAGTTTAAGAATCCCTGCTGTAGAAGTTGGCAGGTCAAGAGAGGCTCTCCCATCTTCCTTGTTCTTCCTTGATGGGATTTGATGAAGTCCTTTCTCCTCTAGTCTCCTGGGGTTGATGAATTGCTGGATTAAGTCTGTCTGAATTACAGTCTTGGGCCTTCTGGAAAGCTACCTTCCCCCTTTATGCAGGAGGCCTTTCATTCTGAATTGTGCATGGATTTCAGTTTTGTGGGTTCAAGGCTCTACCACCCCTGTATTCCTTGCCCAATAATAATCAGTAGTTCTCCCCCTCCACCCCATCTCCTTCACAGTAGCTGACTTGAAACCAGACATCCAGTTTTCTCCCTTTGACAAGATCCAGTATTTGACTGATTCACTGCAGCGGATCACCAGCGACCTGAACTGTGTCCTTCGTCTCCTGAGTACCTTCAGCAGCCAGCAGTCTCTCTTCACTTCCACCCAAGGCCAGTCGCTCGCTCCGTTGGCCAGAGACGGAATTCCTCTGACTGCTTATACCTCTCTGGCACGTGCCTATTCTGCCACACCATTTGTACCTTCTACTGGACCTCAGTCGGTCTGGTGTAGCAGCTCAGGCCCCAGTCCTGCAGCTGTGAGTGGACAGTCTGTGGACAGTATGTTGACGGAGAAGTGGCGTAAATATTTCCCAGGTGAGAATGGATTCTTGAGCTGTTTCTTTCTTGTGACCCAAAGCCCAATCTGGCATTGGATCCCTGAGTTTGCCAACTTGTTTGGGGGACGGTTCTTAATGCCACCTGGCACTAACCTTGGTTGGAGGGCTCAGTGTGTGAGCTACTCTCTGAAAGGACCAGTGGAGCTCATTTTTCCTCCCTCCTCTTCCCCTTCCCTGCTCCCAGATGAAGCATGATTGCTAGATTCCAGAGGTGGGGTTTGGATTATCGAGAGCCGTAATTTGCAGCTGCTTTCCTCCTTGTCTCCTGTGCTCCTGACTCACAGGATCACTGTACGGAGTGCATTCTTTGGGAGCAATTTCCTTTTTCTAGAGTCTACTGCTTTCCATTTTGGAATTTACCCTAACCCCTTTGCTCTTATAGCACTCATAATGAATTCCATTCTGGGGTTTGAGAACCAAGGGTCCCCTTCCTTCTCCCACAGTTCTTCTAGCTTTGGCTAGTCATTTGAAAGCTTTACTCCCCCCCACCACACACACACAATATTTGGTAATGGCTCTTGCCTTACACCGCTATGATATACTCATATTGCCCAAAATGTCATGAGTGTTAAGAAAATGACTTTAAAACTCTATCTTCCAAAATCAAACCAAAAACTAGAAACATATAGTACTGTGCAAAAGTTTTAGGCAGGTGTGAAAAAATGCTGTAAAGTAAGAATG